CAGCGTCTCGCGGGTGCCAGTTGCTCGGCTTGACGCACCCAGCCATTCAAGAGGCCAGCACAGTGACGGAGAGCCCAGATGGAAGAAGGCCAGCAGTTGGTTCGTCAAAAGGAGCCGAGTGAGACGGGGCTGCCGCGGCCCGCACCACACAGCAGCGAAACATGGACATGAAGGGCCAACCCAACCCAAGTCAACCTGGTGGGCCGACACGGAATATGCACTCTCAACACCACACACACACACACCTGGTGTGTTGGTATTTATCCGACTGATTCGCAGCAAAGACACCCGGACAGCGTGCTTCTGTCGAGCGGCGCGCCCGGGACACAGTTGACAGGTGAGTTGGCGACGCATTAGTCACACGAAGGGGCAGAGTTCTCAGTGATCATTCTTCTCTCTGTTGGCTGATTGTTCATGTGTGTGCAGGAGCTCTCTCCTGACGCACGTCGGCTTTCCGACAACCGGCCTGTCTGAAGACGCGTACGACCACAGGTATGGAGGCACACTCAACGAAGCACACATACAGGGAGGGCCCAAACAGACACACATCCATCCATTTGCGTGATGCAGGCTGGCAATGGTGCCGGGAACCCAGTCCAGTGTCTCTCAACGGCCCCCGGCAAAGTCCTTTCGCAAGATGACACCAGAAAGCGCGAGGGAGTCACAGTCCACTCGAACATCCTGAGAGAGACAGTGGAGAGCCATCGAAGCCGACACCGATTGTACTGTACACGTTTGTATGGCTGCGAATGCCCACAATAGAAGTGTCAGCTGGCCATCTCCCTCTGCCTTCCTCCCAGCCCCCATCTGGTGGCAGGACTTGTCGTCTCTCTATTGCCCTTCGCTGTCTCCCGCCCTCTGTCCGGCTGCCTGCATCTCGGGGGCTGTTGTCTGTCTGGCTGTCTGGCCGTGTGGCGAGATGAATGGATGGATGGACAGCCAAGGAGGGGATCGCATGTGGGGTGCCGCTGATGGGATGGGATGGACGGACGGATGGTGAAATGGATCGAGGGAAAGACAGGCAGTGTGTTGTGGTGCGATGGATACGATACGGGTGCGGGCGACGCGATGGAACGATCCGTGTCTCTCGAGTGGTGGATGCGATTGAGATGTGTACGTGTGTGTGACGCTGGCTGGTGCGGTGCATGTGGGTGGGAAAAGACTCTGTCTGTGATTCCATCCATCCATCTGAATACTTGGAGGCAATCAAGCAGCCAATTGAGGTATCGCGGAGATCGTCTCGGCCAGTTTGTCTGTCACCAGCACTTGTTTGTCTGCACACTCTCCGTCGTATCGACACAGTCACACATACAGCCAGCAAGTCCCTCGACAGACAGACCGACCATACGCACCCAACGCGCACCACCGCCGACCATTTGGCTGCCTGGCTGTCACTCGAAGATCTGTCTGATTGTGTCGACTTCGCTTCTGCCGTCGAGAAAGGACCCCAGCAGCTTCTCCACATGAGCCCGAAAAGCATCCCTTTGGGCGGTGTCCAGGTGCACCAGCGCCCCCTTAACCACCACACCCAAAGGCGACAGCAGGGGGGAAATGTCGCTAAGGGGGTCGTCACCACCATCACGGTCACTATCACGGTCACCATCAACCTCCTCCCCCTGTGTGTCGCCATTCTCATTATTCTCGTTGTGACCCCGCTGCTGCTGCTGCTGCTGCTGGCGTTGGATGGCGAGGAGGCGTCTGTGCAGCTGCATGCTCTCGAGCCGAAACAGCTCCTGCCACAGGGGGAGGCTCCGCGGCAAAACACGCACACCCCTGATCGATAAAGATAGAGTGCACCCGCCTGTGTGTGTGAGGATGTGTGTGTGTGTATCCCTCCATTCATTCACACCTGAGCATTATGATGCGTGCGGTTTTGATGTTTTTGTGCTGCACGTGGTGGTTGGCCGCCACCAGATAGAACCGGTGCTCGTGCGGGTGGTACGCCAGACCCTGCACACACACACAGACACACACACAGGGGTGGGTAAGCGACACAGACATCCAGTGTCATCGACCACTCCCTCCCTCCCCTGTGCGCCCCGCACCCACCCGTGTGATGGCCTTGAGCAGCTGCCTGGTCGACCCCACAGACAGACAAAAGTTCAGATACTCGTACCTGACCCATCGCAAGGAGGAACACCACACACACTTGTATGTGACTCAAAGTGCGTCGTCTGCCCACGTGTGTGTGTGCCGCCGTCTGCTCACCAGAGTGGCTTGTCGTGGTTGAACTTCTCAAGAGCACGGTGGAACAGAAAGTGCAGCCGACGGATCCCTACACGCATTCACACAATCAGACAAAGCCACCTTGTGCTTGGCTGCCTGGCTGATTCACTGACTGACTGACTGACTGACTCACCGGCGATGTCGCTGAGTGTCTTCGTCTTCCACCCGATCTTCCGGCTGCGGTGGGTACGCAGAGACTCCTGCACACACACACACACACACACAAAAGGCACACAGACAGACAGACCCGTCAATGAACCAGTGAACAAAAACTCAGCAAAGATCCCTGCTGTGACCCGATTCCCACATCCGTCTACATCCACAGCCATACGTACCAGGGCCATTTCATATTGGATGTAGCGCATGAATGGTTCCAGCGTCACGTGGGCCTTGTTCATGAGTTGGTACTCGAAGTCCCGCCTCCTGCCGGCCATCTGCCTCAGCTCCTCGCGCGTGAAGATGCGCTTCTGCTCCAGGTCGCGGTACTCGGGCACCTGGGACTCCAGATACGCTTGAACACGGTCAGCCATACGGAGAAACAGTCGGAAGAAGACGATGGAATTGTCAATCAATCGAGATGGATGGAGGATTGTGCACGGGTCGGGATGCACACACAAGGCTGCCTTTTTGCTTGTGCGCAAAGATCTGCGAGCTGAGCCGACATCTGCGCGCTCAGCTCACACCGTTTCCCCATTCTTTGCTTCTTTTCTGCCGCTCATATCGTTTGTGTGAGCCTCTGCTGAGATCTTTTTCGGACAACCGTCACCTCCTCCGACCAGACGTGTGCCTCTCTCGCGCCTCGTGCCGACTGGGGAGGAGGCAGATCTGCTCCCTGCGGACACACACAACACAGGTACGAAGCCGGTGCCGCTGCCTGCCTCTCTGCCCGGAATCTCTTGCAAGTTTTCGCTGCCCGCTGCTGCCTGTCTGTGCAGGTATCTCTCGTGTCGCGCAGAAGGGCGTTTGGTCGGTTGTGAGCGGAGCGGGCCCCTCTCAGACACCCACCCACCCGCCAGAAACAGAGCAGTAAGCAGACACGAATGGGACAAGGTGCCAAACACACCAGCAGGCAGTGCACAAGTCGTGCGGTGTGCGGTGTGGTGTGTGAGGTGTGTGTGTAGAGGGAGGAGAGGGAGTGATGTTGGGGTTTGAGTGGACGTACGACAAGTCGGGTCACGCCACCCCGAACGGCCGCACTGAGGCGTGCGAGACGCTGACCCTCAAATGGCGCGAGGAGGTCCTCCTTCTGCTCGGCCAACACGGGTACCGCCGCAACCTCGTGTGTCGCCTCAGCCAGGCTGGCGTCGACATCAGATCACCCAACTCACCACGACCATGTACTCACTGACTGATTGAGGGAGGGAGGCACGGCACACACCGCCAGGATCTGCAATTTGACGGACGGACACATCTCATCTCCCCGTTGCTTGTCGGTCGGTGTGTGGTGTGCAGATGTGACTGTTAGCGGCCCCGATGCGTCGCGCGAGCGTGCCAAGTGGTACATCGAGCAGCTGCTGGCGCAGGTGCGGTGCAGGATCGATGGCAGTCCGACCGAGCTCACCAACACCATCGACATGGCCGTCATCCGCAAGCGCACCGACGTCACCGTCGCCACACTGCCCAGAAACTCACTCGGATTCGTTTGCGGCAAAAAAAGGCAGGTCGGTACGCTACTCACCTATCTGCATCCAGACCCAACAAACCACACACCACACCACACCAAATGCACCTGTGTGGATCGGTTCTCTCTCTCTGTCTGTGTGTCAATGCTTGTGCTTCCTTCAGAACATGCAGAGTATCGAGGAGACGTTTGACGTGTTGGTTTTCTTTGTGACTGTGGTTGGGTACGACCCCAGCCGGCTGGTGGAGGAGCAGCTCGGCCACACCCTCGACGGCCTCCCCCGGCCGCCCGTCGACTCGCCACTCGAACACACCAACGCCCTCATCGTCGGCAGGACGCGCAACCGCATCGCCGCACTACTCACCATCATGGGCGCCACCGCCGCCATTATGCCTGGTACGATACACACGCATGGATGGATGGAGGAGGGCGTCAGCTGAGCCGTTTGTGTGTGTGCCTGTGCCTGGGCGTTTGTGTGTGTGTGTGTCTGTCAGATTACTATGTGGTGGATGGGTATGGGAAGAACCGTTTCAGCGACGCCCCTGGCATGGCTGTCGACGAGGTGGGTGGGTGTGCTTGCCCTGGGCGGACGGATGGCTGGATGGATGTGGCTCACACATGTCTGTCTGCATCAATGTGTGTGCGCATTCGGCAGTATTGCATCGCTGAGGGTTCGCCCAGCATCCACTCGACGTATCTGCATCGCGTCGCCCGACTCATGATCACGTGCATGGGCAATGGGCTCTACTTCATCGCTGGTAGACACACACACACACACACACACATGCTTGCAAGCACGGATGGCAGCGCATTTGGTTGATCGGTCTACGCAGGTACCCCCGATGAGCGTCGTCGCGGCAAGGAGTACCTGGACATCACGGTGGCCTTCTCCAGGGCCACCCTTCACAGCCGGCCAGAGCGATACGCCGCATTCAAAGAATACCTCCACGAATCAGGCATCCACATGCACAACAGGTGGGCTGCCTGACGGTTTGTTTACTCTGCCAGAAACAGACGTACACACATCGACTGCTCCCTCCCTCCCTCCCTGCCTACGTGTGTGTCTTTTCACAAGGAATGACATGGAGCGGTTGGAGGTGCCGGAACCCCCCGAGCGGCCCCGCGACATCGCACTCGAGTGCGGCACATTCGTGTTCGTATTCGACCCGCCCACCCCGTACGCAGCAACTGATATTGGCACCGACCTCTCAGACAGACAGATCCATTCTGTTTATTTATGGGTGTTGCAGGTCTGCCCCCTATCAGGTGGTCATCGTGAGCACCCAGAGGGACAACCGCGACCGAGCGAGGTCCATTGTCCTCTCTGCTGCCGGCCAGCTGCCCGGGCGACGGACACCCAACGGGGCGTCTGCCGGCGGCATCACCCCCTCCCACTCCCATTACTCCTCATCCCACTCCCGCTACCCCCGCTCATTTTCCGACGCCGTCTCCAACACCTACCTCACCATCGACTCGCCGTCCGCGGCGTCCAGCAAGCCCGTGCTGCCCAAGACCACACCACACACAGAGAGTGAGACCGACAACGACCACACCCACACAACGCCCACGCAGTCGTTCGGCTCGTCCTTCGAGGAGTCCGGCCGTTCGTCGGGGTGTGGGGGCGGCGGCCCCGTCAGCGGGAGGACGACCAATGGCGTCGGCAGCATTGGCTATGACGACAACATCGGATTCCCCACGGAGGAGTCCGAGGAGTCCGAACGCGACGATGACGACAACGGAGGCGAAGAGGGGAGGTCTGTGTGCGACGACATCGAGTGTCAGCAGCAGTACTGCCAGGAAGGGGCAGCCGCAGAGGGCGGCGGCGGCGAGGCACAGATGCCCAACGGCACCGGCGGGTCGCAGCACAAGTGAGCGACCGAGGCACATCCATCCATGATGTATCGTCTCGTCTGTCTGTCTGTCTGTGTGTGTGCAGCGGGTGTTTCCCCTCACTGTTGTCGTCCACGTCGGTGTCTCCCTCTCCCTCTCCCCAGCACGCCGCATTGGATGCGTGTGGTCGGCTGGGGGCCCTGGACACCGCCGTGCGCGACCTGGCCGCCTACGCCGACGACCTCGAGGGCGAGGTGCGAGACGTCGAGGACCGCAACGCATACCTCACACATCGCAACACGCAACTCGAACAAAAGAGCCCCGAACGGTAGGCATTACTTATGGGGTGGGGGACGTATCTATCTCTTTGTTGATGTGTGTGGATGCGTGTAGGTATTGTGAGGAGCATCTGATGCAGCTGACCAGCATCGAGGCCATCGACGACTTCATCGCAGGGTGCAAGGAGGCCCTCAACACGATCGTCGGCGACCAGGGGAGGCTGGTCAACATGGTCAACCAGGCCTACCAACACGTGCACGCGGGCCAGCAGGGGGGCAGCAGTGGCAGCTCGCACGGTGCCAAAGGCGTGGCCTGCAACAAGTGATCTAGCTAGCTTGATAAGTAGATGGATGGAGGGAGGGAGACCAATCGAGAAAGGTGTCTGTCTATGTGTGTGCGCGGGCTTATGTGTGTATGTATGTGAACACGGGAGTCTGCGTCACAGACAGACAGCCAAGGCAGCGGCGGTGGGGAAGAGGGTGGGGGTAAAGGTCACCACCTGACGGCGGACATGTGTGTCAGGCAGGCCCGGCCATGTGTGTGTGGGTGAGTGGCTGGGTAGGTGCGTGTGTGGGTTCCTGGCTCACTCCCCCATCTGTGTGGCCTTGCTCTAGCTACACAGTGAGTGAGTGAGTGTTATGTGTGTTGGTGCCTCTAGTCATTCGTGGATGGATGGATGCTTACCTACCGTGCAGGCAAAAAATTGATGGG